CGGAAGCCAGCGCCGACATACTGGAGTTGGGGATTTCAGACGAGGCGATGGACGCTTTGATGGCCGAACTCCCACCAGAGGTCGAGAGCCTGGTCCTGGACTGGCTGCCGGATGGAGGCGCTCCAGTTGCCCCGTCAGTACAGGACGCAGGCGAAGTCAGGGTAGTCCCCCCAGAGGAGTGGACGTGTAACACGCCGGATGGGAGAATCCCCACCAACGTCGCGGACATCATCCAAGCCCGAGCACTTCAAGCCAGGTCCCGTCAGCGATACCGCCTTCAACGCCCAGAGGGAAGTTACCGGGTCACCAGCCGCACAAACGGCTCCGTTTCGATTCTTTTCGACCCCTCCCCGAAGTAGGAAGGGGGTGTGACGCCTCATTCCCAAGAGGCGCACATTCTTGTTTTTGTTTTCTTTGTTAGTTTTTCCTAGCTTTAATTAATTAGTCATGTAAGAGAAACACAATGAAGTCCTTGTTATTATAGTTCTAAGCAAACCAGTTAATCCGTACATAAAATAAGATTTAAAATTAAGCTAAACCAAGTTGCCATTTATTTCGCGTTATCAACGACATTGCCATTTATTTCGCGTTATCAACGACATTGCCATTTACTTCGCGTTGCCACCAACGTTGCCATTTACGGCACTATCGATTAACACGCTGACAGCTGGTCCGTGGCCAGATCGCGACGCTGTCAAAAATCGCCACGTTGACAGCCTGGTCAGAGGATCGAGATGGTAACTCGATCTCTACCTTTCCGGACAGCCGTAGCGTGCAGACGTGCGCTCCGAAACTCGGCCTCTGCCCCGGTCCGCCGCAGACGGAAAACATAACCACACTTACGCAGACAGGTAAACCTCGATCACAAATAACCACGCGCAATACAGCCCCGAGGCTTAACTAACAAATAACCACGCCCAATACAGCCACCGCGGCTAATCAACGAATAACCCTCGGTGCAGCAGCAGGAAAACAGGTTAGGGCAAGTGGCCAATAAAGTGAAGTGATACATTGTGAACATTTAATTCCTGTGTGTTCTTGATTTCGTAAACTTCATAGCAACTAACCCTTACTCGCACCTCCCCGATCCCTACCAGTAGTTAGTGATCCCTCAGGCGTGGCTACGACAATTCTTGGTTAATCCAGAGAACGTCGGCGTGCCCCTGTTGGATTTATAACCCGATCCTTGTCAGTAGATAGCGATTCCTCAGGCGTGGCTACGACAATTCCTGGTTAATCCAGAGAACGTCGGCGTGCCCCTGTTGGATTCATACCCTGACCCCTGCCAGTAGTTGGTGATCCCTCAGGCGTGGCTACGACAATTCCTGGTTAATCCAGAGAACGTCGGCGTGCCCCTGTTGGATTTATAACCCGATCCTTGTCAGTAGATAGCGATTCCTAAGGCGTGGCTAAGACAATTCCTGGGCAACCAGAGAACGTCGGCGCGCCCCTGTTGGATTCATACCCTGACCCCTGCCAGTAGTTGGTGATCCCTCCGGCGTGGCTACGACCCTTTCCTGGTTAGCCCAGAAGAAGTCGGCGTGCCCCATTCCTGTGCCCGTAGTGAGTATTCCTGAGCCCTCTCGGACACGCTCACGTGTTCCTAACCGGTCCTACCGAGCATAGATTCGGCCCAACCAGGTGTCTCACCGGCTCGTTGGAGCACCCCCTTCCGCTCCGCTCTCCCCTCGCTAACGGCGCAGAGCCTGCCACAGGGTGCGCAGTGTGCCCAAAGCCGGAGTACCGTTAATCCAAAATCCGCACTCTACAGTTCCTATCATAAACAAGTTCCCCCTGTGAATAACAAATTTCTTGTAAGGATCTCTGGCACGACTGAGGCCTATCCCAGCCTAAGAAGATTCGTTACATCTGAAAGTGCTAAGTCCGGAACATAAGGTGGATGTGGTAGCACTTCCCAATTCAGCTCTGTTAATTTTTTCCGAGTGACCAAAGATGTGTGGGGCCTAGCGTTGTCATGGTGAAAGACTATACCCTTGCGATTAGCTAGTGCCGGCTCCTTTTCTTTAATTTTTTCCGCCAAATTGAATAGCTGGCGACAGTACACATCTGAATTGATGGTTTCATTCCGTCCCAGCAGCTCAAAGTGCACTACACCCTTCCAATTCCACCAAACAGACAGCATAACTTTCCTCTGATGGATATCGGCCTTTGATGTGGCTTGGGCTGGCTCACCTTTCTTGCTCCATGATCTTTTTCGTTGGACATTATTGTAAACAACCCACTTTTCGTCGCCAGTAATGATCCGCTTCAAAAAAGGATCGTTTTTAATCCGTTGCAGCAGAGAATAGCAGATGTTGATACGCTTAGTTAGGTGAATTTTCTTTAAGTTATGCGGAACCCAAACATCGAGCTTGCTTACGTAGCCAAGTTTCTTCAAATGGTTTTCAACCGTTGTATGCGACACACTGAGCTTCTCTGACATCTCCCGCGTTGAATAACGCCGCTTTTCATCCAGCAAAGCCTGAATTTGTTCGTCAAAAACGGCCCATGGTCGACCAGAACGTGGGGCGTCTTTAACACCAAAATCTCCAAGCCTGAATTTGGCAAACCAGCGCTGACATTGGCGATCACTCATGGCATCTTTACCATGCACTTCGCACAATTTCTCGCGAGCTTCGACTGCTTTTTTTCCTTTTCGGAAGTAAAAAAGCAAAATATGCCGAAAATGCTCGCAACTTGCTTGGTGCTTTCTACGGAATTGTGCGATTAGCCCGGTAGAGTTTGTGCGATTGCCCAACCGGTAAATGAGAATACAACTTTATTTTTCCTATTTCACAACGTTTATTCAATCTTTATCTGACAGAATACTGGTTTGTCGTGACGTCTCCTCTGGGTGTGTCTGCCTCTCCAATGATCCCGCTCGCTTGTCGCCGTTGATTTCGGGCGTTTCACGTGGGGAGTTAGACTATCTGGGCTATTGGAAACGTCACCGTTCTCAGACTATGGTGAAGAGGCGCCGTGTTCTCCAGGCGTTTGCCCTTCGCAACCGCGACCTCCTGTCCCTTGCTCTGTTCCGACTGGCTCACCGGACGCTGACTTAAATCTCACCTTCGGTCCAGGCGTACGCCGGGCACTCGTCAAATGATCCTTGCGTGGCACGACCAGTTCAGACGAACGTTCCACGCTAATCTTGACTACTCCGTGCTGGGGCTGTTCAGTCCTCGGCTCTCGGGGTTCTGCTGCTCCACGACTCTTGCAGACTACGCATGGCTTTCGGCGTACACGCCTTTCACACCCGTGCGGTTCAACTGCGCGTCCTTCGCGGCTTGTCGCATCATGACGTAACCCTCGCCTCGAGACGGACGAAGCGTACGCCGGAGCACAGTCTGGTAGACTCTACGGTATGCGTCTGGTTCTTGACTCCTCCCCGATGAGGTCCTCGAATAAGGACTCGAAAGTGTAGACCTGGTAAGGACTCGCCGGGCAATACTCCAGGCTCAATGTCATTAACGAGTAGTCGTCACAGGCGCCTTATTCGACGCTTTGTAATGCCCACAGAACCTCAGCTACCTGTGTCTCAATTCGGAGACTTAGGGATCTTACTCCTTGTAGATTTCTTGCTTACGATCCTGGTGTCCTTTGTCCACGCCGTTGATCCTGATTCCTTGCTGGTTAACTCTTCTACTTTTTGCTTGATCATGTTTGACTTCTCGTCTATACTTGCGTTTGACTCCTCGTTGATTGATCCCTGCTGAACTGCGGGCCCCGCTTATATAGGGCTCCTGGTCCCGTTAATCCTCAGCGTCTCCTTTTCGTCCGGTTCCAAGGTCCAACACCGACCCGTTACTTTCCTGGCTAGCTCGCGCGATCAGTTCCCAAGTCCACCGTTGTCTCCTTTTCGTCCGCGTCCAAGGTCCACCGTGGTCCCGATATTTCTCTGGTTAGATCACGTGATCGGGTCCAAAGACCACCGTGGCCCCGTTATTTCTCTGGTTAGATCGCGTGATCGGGTCTAAGGTCCAACGCGGTCCCGTTACTCTTCTAGCCAACTCAATATCATTTGTGGGGAGTTATCCAACTTTTCACAGCCTATTGACTTTGTTTAGCTAAGTAAGGGATATTTAAATACAGTAGAATCCTGTTATAACGACTCCGCTTATAGTGTCCGTCCGGGTTGTGCGTCGAAAACTCGATGGTTTAGTTGGTCCCCATACAAAGTTATATGAAAGGGCGTCCGCTTAGAGCGTTTCCGCTTTTAGCGACAAACCGCTTATAAGAATGAAATTTTTCAAGAAAATTGAAAAATTTAACCGGATATTGCGTCGTGCCAGAAAAAATACAGTGCCATAGTTCAAAATTTAAGCATCAAAACACGCTGTTAGAAATGTATGTATTTGTCAGTGATCGGCACCCTTGCTTGTGTGCGTAGCAGCGACACGAAGGATCTTGCACTGGCACAACTCTCTGTAAGTTTTAGCTGTCGCCTTAAAAACGCTGCTGCGAGACAGAGAGAGTCGAAGTGCAATGCCGACGTCACACTGTGTGTGCAGACCTCATAGTCTATTCCATGAGATGTCCCGTTATATTTCAAGTTTTTTCTGCTTTTTTCCGAGTAAAACTAAATGTTTTAATTTGCCAAATGCAATATGTGCAATAATAAGCTCATTCAGTTTTCAGTATTTAGAAAAACCTATGTTTATTTATTAATTTATTAAATTTTTCGTTTTAATTAAAAAATTAATTTGATTTATTTTAAAAACCTATTACAAACACAGCAACCATAAAATAATCAAAAAAAAATTTTTTTTCCTCCTTTTGCTTAGTGCGTCTTCCAGTTATAACGACGAAAAATGGTCGGTCCCTTGAAAGTCGTTATAACCGGATTCTACTGTATACGGCTTGGCGCGATACATTTATTTACGTTTTACATATTTTTTAAATTAAGCCATGTTAACTATCGATTATTATATTTTCCTTTTATAATATAGAATTGTTATTAATTTTACTTGTCGAAATAAACGTATTCTCTCCGTTTTCAGATTCACTCCCTACTAAGTTATAAGCTTCATTCAGAATTCTTGACTACTCATAGCAATTATACGCAAAATAAAAATTATTTTGACAGCCTGAACTACATCCAAACATATTCTGCACAACAATTATCTGATATAGATCCTTACTTAAAGGAAAAAATAGTTACTACGTCAAATTTTGATACAAACTCAATTTTTACATCTAAACATAACGTTTCTGATAATATACAAAAATTATGCAGAACACAACAAGTAGCTCCCGTGATTTCTGATAAGACTTATGATGGAGTGCTTTCTGCAATTGAGCAGTATAGACAATTGCTTAGTAACCATGGCTTTTTAAACTATTCAAATCAAAGCTATATGTCAGTAAGTGAAGAAACAAAAAAAAAGTGGTAAACCATTTAACTGACGAAACCAATATAAATACCAGAGATGATTATCAACCTAACATTCATCTATGTTCTGAAACTCTAGGACTTGCGAGATCGACAGTTATTTCAAAAAATACATGCAATGAAAAAACATGCAACAATATTAAGAACATAAGCTCTGAGCATATAGCTACGCATCACCATAAAAAATATTATGGTCCCCATAATAGGGATGATATGCAAAATTTCCCCACATGCTTTTCCGGAACAATTCCTAAACTGCCTAGCCAAGAAAGTACAACTGTAAATGTAACGGAAACGAAATCATTGCTTGCATCAGTTTTTTCTGAAACTACGACAAAGAACAAACAACGCCAACGTGAAATGCCAAAGAAAAAAGCGGGTTTCACTAAGAAAAAAACATCAAAATGGGTAAATGAATCAATAATTGGTAGTAACCATAGCACTTTAGACACGGAAAAATGTAGAAATGTTACTACTCTAGAAATAGAAAAAGAAATTGGACCAGCGGCAGTCGAAGTAATCCAACCAAATGTGGAGCGGCAAATACACAACCACCAATCGCAGCCTCTGGAAAACTATGAAGACTATTTGGACAAAATTATTTTTCAAGAGAACGAGTGTTTCAACCGGTAAGAAAAATATATAATACTTACCTTTTGTTATTAACCAACTAAAAGTATTACTGAGTTTTGCCAATAGCCATTTATGAAATAATTACATGAAATTCTTAAAAAATTTTAAAAAATAAAAATATTTTGTTATTTAAGCCTTTACTTTTCTAACTTCAAAAATGTTTGTTATATGGAAAAAATTAAAACCAAGATGTTCGACTTTGTTATTTCATGATGTTCTCTATGTTGTAAAAAAAAAACTAAATTCAAAAATTAGTTTATTTAGTATTTTATACAAGTTTAATACTTGGCATAGGTATTGTATAGCTTATGAGCTTTTTCGCTAACTGTTAATATAAGTATACTGATTTCTGTTAGGGCTTCAATTATCAGTTTATTATATGTAACCGCATACGAGTATTTATTTAGAGATGTATCGCATCTAAATCTCCGATTTAGATCTCGACCACTACTGGATTGAGTGGCGAAAGGCATTAAAACAGGATTCTTGAGTCTTCTCTTACAGACTAATAACAAGTAGAATAATCCTAATATATTTAATTTATTTAATTTAATACGGGCGTCAAGCTTGTTCGTACCTATGATTGGCTGTTACATTGTCAATTTCGTCTTATATAGATCCTATATTTAAACCTTTGTGAATATTTTCATGCCGTATAAACCGTGGTGCCCAATTATAGTTCTCAAAAAGCGTGAGTACAGACGGACTGGGTGATTTTCTTTCGAACACAAATCACAATTCTCCGGGTTTGCACTCACTTTCGCTTCAAGGGAATTGGAAGCCGGTGGATTTTTCGAGGGTATACCGCTAAAACTCGATTTCATGTCCTTGATGGCTTCTAGAGTGCTATATCTTTCAATGAAAAATGGGTTCATTTCATTCCATGTATCGGACTTGGATAAGAAAGATTATTCCCATAAGGAAAGGGTCGATTTCGACAGTTTACTGTCCAACAGGCAATCCCAATTTTCGGTGAATATATTGGAATGCGCTAGTGCTACTAGACACCCTTGTATGGTACTCTGCAGCTCTTTTAGCGCGTGGCCAGATTTGTGATTAAAGAAAAGAAGTTTGAGCTGACTGTTGACTAAAAGTGTCTTGTTTTCGAAACGGTCTCGCAGCGATTCCCAGGCGAAAATGAAACCCTCATTGGTAAGGGGGAATTTCGAAACAATTGCTACCGCTTCACCACTGGTCTTGGAATTCAGATGGAACAATTTCTCAACTGGTGTCAGCCTAGGATTATTCATGTAAACTGCCGTGGAAAAATCTCTGAAAGTTAGCCATTTTAGGCTGTAATAATTTCTAATTTCTAATTCATTTTTAACTTTTCCCGAACCGAACTTGGTCTCGGTGGACATTACACTTATGCAGCGAGGGGTAAGAAGGCCCTGGACTATTAAGTCTCGCTTCAAATTGACTAAGCGCTTCGCTTGTGAAGTCAAATATAATCGTATCTGGCAATGCTGTACATCGTTTTAAAGGTGGTATCACCTTTAAAATGACATACATATAGTTTGTTTACATGTGCTTCCACGTTAAAAAATTACAATCGATTGAAATGGAGTTCACAAACGCAGAAATTCGGGCAATTTTGTTATTTCATTTCGCACAGGGAAAAACTGCTGCGGGATCTCGCAGACAGATTATTTCTGTCTTAGGAGATAATAAACTTTCGATTCAAACTGCCGAACAGTGGTTTCGCGATTTCGAAGTGGCAATTTTGATACCGAAACACCCAAGCCTTCCGGACGACCAGTGACCGTTGATACGGATAAAATCATGGAAATAGTGGATCGAGATCGTCATGTGACTATTAGAACCATCGCAGAGGATCTGCAACTAAGCACGGAAACCGTCCATAGGCATTTAAAGTCGAAAAATTTAACAATAAAGCTCAATGTATGGGTGCCTCACGAGTTATCCCAAAAAAACCTTTTCGACCGTGTATCAATCTGCGAATCTTTGTTGGACCGTAATAAAATCGACTCATTTCTGGATCGGTTAGTCACTGGTGATGAATCCTGGACGACTTTTGAAGTTTTTTATAGACAGTGTGGATTTCCTCACAATTTTTACGTTGTTAGACAAAATGGCATTCTCGCAAACTGCACAAAAAGGACAATATCGACGCATTTCCGCGAATGTATCGTATGTTGAAAAATCAAATTTTACAGGAGAAGATTTTTCTTTATTTTTGTATTTCGGTATTTTTGTGCGATTGCAGTATTTCCTTGCAAATGAAAAAAATTTTGTATGGACATACGATAATTTCGCGCGCACATTGAAAAGCATTGTAACATACGATAAAACTGAAACTTAATTTTTATAGGAACTATAGGGCTTTCAGTTATAATATTTCAGAGGGTAGTGAGAAATCAGGTGCCTAACAATTTTGCATTAAAATCTCAATTTCGAAAAAAAGTGACATACGATACTTTCGCGGAAATGCGTCGATATGTTTTCGTGAGTCCATTTCCCTGGTAAATCATGCAATAGACGGTCTGTAGTTTGTGGGGTCCTTAACGGGAATTTTACCGTGCATTTGATATTGAAGCTTGTAGATTGAATGAACTGCATTTTTTTTTTAATGAACATTTTAAGGAGCAAACTTGAAATGTATTTATTATTATTATTTATTTTGTTGTTCATATGTATTTTGTGTTATTGATTTTCTTATTTTATTTTTCTCAAAGTGTTGTAAAGTATAATAGTTTCCTAGCTGGGATATGACTCAGTCTGTCCAGGATCGCTTACAGAAAATGTATATCTGCGGGACTATCGGAAATTTTGATAGAGGGTGAGCCGACGGAGATGGAGGGGTCCGGCTCACGGTAGTGTGGGTTGCAAAAAGGCGGAAAAATATGGGGAAAACAACTGCGGCTGGAAGATAATTCCAGAAGTAGGTGATGAGCAGGTGCACTTTCGCGGATTCCGGAGTTAGGATTGTTTTCCACTTTCGTCGCGAGACTTGGAACGGGGCCTGGCACGTTGTCCAGTGGCGCGGAGCGCAGAGCCGTGTCGAACGGGTGCCAAAAGTACGTCTCATCGAATCTGGGCCTCGGGGATAAGTGATTTCTCTCCCTCGCCAAAACTAATTAGCAGCCAAAGTTAATGTCTTCTTTTCCTCTGCTGCAGTCCTCTGCCGCCGTCCTCTGCTCGCACGATCGGCGCTTGCATATTTTAATGCGTATCAATCGTCTTGCCTACGCTCTCATTGGCTCAGCCCCCCTCTGCTCGCCCAAGCGGGGCCTGCCTTTTTATAGTGTAAGTGCAGGTCGCGACGTAATTTTGGGCTTCGGCGCTCGCTCCGCTGCCCTCTGCTCTAGTCGGCGCCTGCGCTGGTCCACGCAATTGCGTTGTAGACTTAGATTTGCGGTTATTTTCTCTGGTTCTGTCGTTCTCTTCCCGCTTAGTGATGATCTGTGGTTAGCTTAATTCTAGCCTTATTTATTATTCAAAATTAGGGTGGGAAACTTAGAATAAGAGGAAAAAATTGTACGGCCAATTCGGGCCGTTACAGTGTTAATACATTTAAAAAAAATAATAAGTGCTAATATAAATATATACATAAAGTGGAAATTATATAAAGCATGCATGTAAAAAAAATTATTCTATCGCTTGTTGTCGCTGAAAATGATTGTAACGAACTGCTTCTTTTACTGTTTGCTCGCTTCGTAAAATGTGCGGCTAGCTCAGCTGGGTATATGTGCTCGCCCCAACAAATTTATTGTTGCGTGACAAGACACAGAATCACAAGTTCTGTTAGGTTTAGCAAAAGGAGTGGGACTTATTGATTTAGTTATAAAATCTCACTGCTGGTCTTCGCTGACGATGTCGATGCCCTCCGCGTCGATGTTGATGCCCTCGTGGACGCCGGAGATGTTTTCTGAGGCGGCACGCCTACCTTGCGTCCTCTGCTTTACCGAGTCTTTTGAGTACCGCTCGTGTAGTAGGTTCGCTACTGGCCCTTCTCGACTTGGAGGATGTTAGGCAGGACCTCTCTGGCGGGGCTAAGATAGCGATGTCTGCAGGCACCACTTTTCGATTCACACCCGGAGTTCGGACTGCATTTCGTCGTTTCGGCACCGTAGCAGGACCTCACTCTCGTATAAACCGACGCCCGGTTGCCCCACATAACTCCATTGGATCTTCGTCGCTCTGGCACCCTTACAACAACCACGCCGTCATTAAGCTTTTTGACTCGGCGATCTCGATCCGGATGGCACTGGCTCTTGGTTTTCACTGGGTTTCCACTCGCGTTGGTATATACGCTTTAATATTACGTAACGTTTTCGAGGTTGCTGAACAAGCCTTCATCTTCAGAATTTAGCTGCAATATAGCTGCAGTTTTAAGAAAAATCTTGTGAAAATCGGGTAACACAAAATACTTTCTTGTTGTTGGTTTGTTATAAAATATTATATTTCAGTGCAAATATGTAAAAACTTTTTTACACTAAAAAGATGTAATTACGGGAGAGGGCTGCAGATCGGTGTGGAGACAATTAACAGACCAAGAGAGCGAGCTGAGAGTGCATCTGGAGAGAACTGGTCTGTGGTCTGTTGATTGTTACACTGCCTCAAAAAAGTGTCCCGTCTTGGTGCGGAACCCTGGATGGATTACCCTTGGGTACCCAGCGGGAAAGTGGGAAGTAGGTTTTTTTGTCCTGAAAAAACCAGTGGAAAACCTACTGCTTTTTGGCAGGCGTAGGGGTAGGGATAGATGAAAACCTACTTCTTTTTGGCAGGCGTTGGGAAGGGGTAAATAATTTCGGACCGCTAAATGGGGTGGGTTTCTGAATATGACCATAAGTTACAACGAAGTTGTGACTAATTATTGTCTTTCTTCGGAATGTTGTTATAAATTATGTTATGATGCACGGTCACATCAGTATAAAATTTCGTGCAAAAAGTGAAAAAAGTTCAGTAAACTCTAAAAAACAAGATAAAGGTAAGTTATAACATAAATATTTTTGTTTTTATACCCTTATTTCAG